TAGGAGAGGGTATTCAAATTTCAAGCTACTTTTACGTCTACCCTAGCATTTGCTTTCCACTGGAATTTTCTTGTGTCTTCTAAGTGCTTGCACACATCCCTATGATTGTCCAGGACTTTATGAATTGCTTAGTCCCTTTTTGTCTCTGCTGCCCTGTTATGAAGACATAGCCAGAAGTATGCTTACTGCTATAACCTAAGATCATTCTCCTTACTGGAGTAACCAAAAATATCTCTGGATATGTCAGTTGCCCACTACTCAAAATTAAATAAACCCCTTTCAACATTTGCAGTGCAGTTGCTGATCCACATAGCCTGCTCTGTTTTGGTAGACCCTCCATATCAACCAAGCCATGGGAGTGAGATGGGACTATCATTAAGCAAGAACATCATAGAATCCCATTGCTCTTACCCAGAGTCCAACAGTTTTTCAAGCATAACTGATTGTCAGATTAACATAGGCTGCTGGTCAATTTCCAGAATGCTAAAATGGTTGTTTTACTCAATTTTGTGTAGCCTTATAGTTGTTCTTTGCGGAGGGAATTAGTTGACCTCCTTATTCAGCAATAGTCTGAAGTGCCACCCCCTCAGGGTAATTTTATATTGATTCCCAAACCAGATAAGAATAATTAGCAAGGGGAAAATATAGACTAATTTTACTTACAAAAATAGTTTCAAATTTTCTAAATAATAACTATGCAAATTCAACAGTGTATTAAAAAATGCATTATGATTAAGTATGATTTACCCTAAGAAAATAATAATGATTTAACATTTAGCATGGTTATCAAAAAATGTATTACGTTAATAGACTGAAAGAGAAAAATTGTAAAATTATTTCAATAGTTGCAGAGAAGGCATGTGATAATGATCAAAACATATTCAGAAGAATAAAAACAGAAAGGAACTTCTAAACTTACTAAAGTTTATAGAAAAAACACCTATGATAAACAATATACTTAATGGAGAAACTTTAGCTATATTGCATTTAATATAGGCAGAGAAAGGGCAGATTGAAGTTCATTATCATTGCTACTGTTGAACTACTGTATTGAACTCTAGATCCTCACCAATGATATAAGGAAAGAAAAAGAAATAAAGAAGTGACAAGATTGAAAAGGAAGTTATAAAGCTTCTATTATTTGCAGATGATGTGATCAACTTCCAAGAAAAAGACAACAGAATTAAAAGATAAATTATAAGAATTAACAAGATATCATAAAGGTTTTTAACAGAAGATAAACCTATAGAAATCAATAGAATTTGTCTATGCCAACAATAATCAGATATAAATACCATAAACAACAAAATACCACTCAAAAGAGCAATAAAATTACAAATTTTCTAGGTATTGGCAAAGAATACCTGTGGAGAATATTTTATAGATTTCATAAGATACACGAAAATTATATGAATTAATAAGATATTCTATGCCTTTGACTTGGGCAAGTTACTATTGTAAAAAGTCAATTTTACCCAAATTAATTTATAAATTCTCTGTAGCCTTTACCACATTGAGTTCTCAAACTCAAGTTGGATTTTTTATAAACTTAGTAAATTTTTTATTTCAAATATATATGTGGAAAACATATATCTGTGCATAGGTAAGTCAACTTTGAAAAAGTGAGATAAGAAAGGGGACTTGTCTTATTAGTTATTAAAGAAATGAACAATATGAACAAAAAAGGGAACTTAGAAACACATACATGCACACCTATGAATTTAATATCCTACAAAGTTGGCAACTTAAATCAATGAGAAACACTGAATGAATGAATTGATCAATTAAAAAACAAAAGTTTCTACATAGGCCAAAGATGTTAGTGATTAGAAATTATGGGGGATTTCAGAAAACTTGGGTGGTAGGAATGGAAATCATGAAAAGGAGTCAAATTGGAATATACATTGGATGCAAAACCAAGACTTGTTGATGGATTGCATATCAGAGTCATAAGGTTAAAGGTTGACATACATAGTAATGAAGAATAAATTGATGATGCAAGAGAGAGAGGATGTCTATAGGAGGAAACTCCTTGAACAAAGCATCTTATTCTGAGAGTAAGAAGCAGGGTTAATTTTCTTTTTATTAACATCTTTATTAGAGTATAATTGCTTTACAATGGTGTGTTGGTTTCTGCTTTACAACAAAGTGGATCAGCTATACATATACATATATACCCATATCTCCTTCCTCTTGAGTCTCCCTCCCACCTTCCCTATCCCACCCCTCTAGGTGGTCAGAAAGCACTGAGCTGATCTCCCTGTGCTATGCGGCTGCTTCCCACTAGCTATCTATTTTATATTTGGTAGTATATATAAGTCCATGCCACTCTCTCACTTCATCCCAGCTTACCCTTCCCCCCGCCGTGTCCTCAAGTCCATTCTCTACATCTGCATCTTTATTCCTGTTCTGCCCCTAGGTTCATCAGAACCAATTTTTTCTTAGATTCCATATATATGTGTTAGCATACGGTATTTGTTTTTCTCTTTCTGACTTACTTCACTCTGTATGACAGACTCTAGATCCATCCACCTCACTACAAATAACTCAATTTCGTTTCTTTTTATGGCTGAGTAATATTCCATTTTATATATATGCCACACCTCCTTTATCCATTCAGCTGTCGATGGACACTTAAGTTGCTTCCATGTCCTGACTATTGTAAAGAGAGCTGCAATGAACACTGTGGTACATGACTCTTCTTGAATTATGGCTTTCTCAGGGTATATGCCCAGTAGTGGGATTGCTGGGTCGTATGGTAGTTCTATTTTTAGTTTTTTAAGGAACCTCCATACTGTTCTCCATAGTGGCTGTATCAATTTACATTCCTACCAAGAGTGCAAGAGGATACAAGACGAAAAGACAACCCTCAGAATGGGAGAAAATATTTGCAAATGAAGCAACTGACAAAGGATTAATCTCCAAAATTTACAAGCAGTTCACGCAGCTTAATATCTAAAAAACAAACAACCCAATCCAAAAATGGGCAGAAGACCAAATAGACATTTCTCCAAAGAAGATATACAGATTGCCAACAAACACATGAAAGAATGTTCAGCATCACTAATCATTAGAGAAATGCAAATCAAAACTACCATGAGAAAAAAAAAAAACTACAATGAGGTATCACCTCACACCAGTCAGAATGGCCATAATCAAAAAATCTACAAACAATAAATGCTGGAGAGGGTGTGGAGAAAAGGGTTAATTTTTGATGGGAAAAATCTAAGCAGAGAAAGTAGATTGTTTTCTTTTACCGTTAAGAGGAAAATAACAACAATAAAAATATACTATAATTGCATTAATCTACTCACACACAGACAAGTAAACATCTAGACAGAAATTACTTGAAGGCAAACAGCCAAATATTAACTGCCTTAATTTGTAAGTAAATAATTTCCTAGGTAGCAAAACATGTAACCACAGGAACTTTATCTAGAGGTCAAAATTATAATTCAGGCATAAAATGGTAACAGAGAAGTATAATGTCTTAATATTCTATAATTTTATTTCTTAAGAATCCTATTTCATTAAAATTCAGTAAATGTGTGTCTACATATGAAAACGTACCACTAGTAATGTCTTAAAATAGTAGGTTTAAGAATGATGTGTGTGTGTATATGTGTGTGTATGTATTTGGGGGATTTTTGTTTGTCACTTTCTTGTATTTTATATTTTTAAACACCAATGATATATCAGTTTTTCATGAAGAAAAAAGAGGAGGAGGAAGAGAATGGATTTTATAGCATAAGCCTCTCTCTAAATGTCACAAAGAAAGGCAGATTTGAAAAGTATCAGTAAAGTTTTCTGACCCTCACAGATTTGGGGGAACATAGAAGCAGCTCCCTTTTGCTCAAAGAGTTTGTAGTTATTGACCAATTGTGTGGTGACTATGTTATTGTTTTAAAAGTGAGACTGGTTGAGCCCGGGCAAAGATTTGGTTGAGTCGGTCTACTGCGGAGGCTGAGGTGCTCAGACAGTCCTGAGTAACACTGACAAGGAGAATGGTAGCTTGGTTAGACCAGGGATATTAATGTAATTTGGGTGTGCCTTCCCTGACTGATCATTTTAGTTATGTGTCAGAGGCAGGAGAGGAGGAAGAGAAAGAAGATATTGGAGAAGAAGCTACATAGGAGACCTGGAATAATATGAGTAGTTGTCAGAATACCTGGCAATAGCCCCAGCTTTGTCAATAACTTATTGTAAGACATTGTAGACAGAGATTTCAACAAGTCTGGGCCTATAACTTTTATTTTTTTGTATAAATAAGAATTTTTGTATAATAAAAAATTATTTATAAAGGGAAATGGTTATGTGTTGGGTTGCACCTGTATAGTTTCTTTCATTTTATTTAATTAAAAAATTGTTTTACCACAGAACAGTTTTCTCCAACAAATATTAGCCTGAATCCCAGTTTGCAAAATAGATATAAATAAGCAAGTCTACTTGAATTAGGGGAAATCTCCAAGTATTAGAAAATATGTTCAGTCGGAAGAGAAAGAGGAAAAGAGAAAGGAAATAAAATGAGTCAAATGTCTGCTAACACATGTTAAACATTGTAGCTGGCTTTTAAAACTTAGTTTCTCATTTGATCCACATTCCATTTCACAGGTGAAAAAACTGAGACCCAGATATACATAAATTGTCCGAATTCTGAGACTTGAACTTAGTTCTACAGTCCCGTGAATTCTCTTGTTGGAGCTGAGACAGGACAGTAGAAATGAGAAATGGCCATGGAAGGCAGACATCACACTGGCTTACACCACCTCTTAGCATCTGTCAGTGCCCCAGATGTTTTCAGAGAGTTGGGTCATGGGTTGGACCTATGGACAAGCTGTACCAGATATTTAGCCTACCCCTGGACTACGCCATGTTCCCTCCCTTCTAAGTAGCTGGCCTCACAACAGGTATGACCTAGTAATTAAGAAATAAAGAGATCTGAATAGAGTTGAACATAATCTCTAAAGCAAATATGACAAGTTGACTCCAAATAGTCTCACCTTTGCTGGGGCAGTAGCCCTGGCTCTTGCTAAATGCCTGGCCCTTCTCTGGGATTTTGCTTCTTTTTCTCTGGAAGATAGCAAAGAACAGAATAGCTCAGATATGCTTGACCAATTTTAGGTCTAACATCATACATGGTAAACTTAATTTTGGCTATTCTTCTCAGCTTAATCTAGCTTGTCAGAAGTGGAGGTATGTCTGGAAATAACCACAGGTACTGTAAATCTCTCCTCAGTGCTGAAATATATCTCAAATGTGGTTCTATTACAGGCAAGAATCTTTACTGTTAACTGTATAACTGATTACCCACCTTAAATACTTCCATCATCCAGGTGGTCACTAACTCTAAAAGCCATTTATATCATTTTTGGAATGCTCTCTTTGAAAGACCATATTCAGATTGATCCAAAATCTACCCACCTGTCTTGGTCTGAGGTTCCAATCTCTAAGGACCCACAGAGCAAATTCAGCAATTTAAAGATAACTTTAATGCCTCATACAGTCTCCTCCTTTCCAGGTTAAGAAGCCAAGTTTATCCTAATATAATTTACATAAGTAATAAAGATAATAATTGTGTGAGTGACTTCAAAGTGATAAATAACCCACCTTGTATGTCTAAAGGCATTTAATTTTTATTTTAAATTATTTTTCAATAAATTTATTCTATTTATAGTTTCAGTCTGCTAACAAAACATCCTATGTAACAAGGAGGAAACTCTTTAGTAAATATTACACCTGCTGGTTTACATTCAGCTTTCAAGAGGCTAAGAAAGGATTGTTCAACTTGCCCTGGGAGTCCTCCCTCCCTAAATTTTGCCCTGCCTTCCTTCATCTTCCTGCAGTGTCTTCATTAGGAGCAGCACATGTGATCAGGGCTTTGTTATCCCAATATTAATGACTATGTCAGATTAAATCCCTTGACACATTACCAACTTGGCATTTTAAAAGCTGATTATAATATAATTATCTTCAGTAGGTAAGTTTCGTATTGGCTTGGTACCAGAGTTGAAGTTGTGTTTTTTTTTTGTTTTTTTTTTGCGGCACGCGGGCCTCTCACTGTTGTGGCCTCTCCTGCTGTGGAGCACAGGCTCCGGACGCGCAGGCTCAGTGGCCATGGCTCACGGGCCTAGCCGCTCCATGGCATGTGGGATCTTCCCGGACCGGGGCACGAACCCGTGTCCCCTGCATCTGCAGGCGGACTCTCAACCACTGCGCCACCAGGGAAGCCCCCAGAGTTGAAGTTTTGATGGTGGTCAGAAACCGAGAATGAATTCTCTGTTCAAAACCAAATTCGGTCCCTTTGATTTGAGGACTTGCAACTGATAACTCAAGCCTTTACCACCTATGGAGTGTCACTGGAGAGAAGGAAATAGTTAAGAAGCATTGCAAAGATGTCAGTAAACCTCCGGGATATTAATTCTTTCTGAGTTGTGGGGAGTTGGAAGCCACAGTCAATCCTAGGGTCCATCTCATGCTAGCATAATCCTAGATGTCTGAAGACACTGGCAGCTCACAGAGTCAGGGTGTATCTTGATTCTCCTGGTTGGCTCTCACAAGAAGAGTCTGGCATCATTCTCAGGGGTACAACAGAGTCAGGTCTTAACAGGCTCAAGAATTCTTTTCTCCCAGGGTCAGAAAACTCAACTTGGAAGTACATCCTCAAAAAACTATTAAGTGCTGCATGAGGTACTGATACCAGGCCCTCTGGGATATTTTGGAATACCATGAGTGATTATTAAAATCTTTCCGAGTGGGTGGCATTTATCCAACTTTACTTGATGGTAGGTATCACAGTGATCTGCTAAGCATTTTTATTTACCCACTTAGATTTAGAAAAATATATTTGACAGAAAATAAAAATAATACATTTAGTAGTTCAGAGAATAACTGGTAACTCAAAACACTTGAAAGAAAGATTTAACTTTACTCACAATATCATTTTGCATGTGGCACATTTGTTGATGAACACTATTCCATCAGAGCTTTGAAAAAGGTTTGTATCTCGGGAACAGAACAGTTTTCCATTTTTCATCAGTGCCCTATATTCACTGCATGTTTCCTTAGGAAAATATGAAAAAAGTGCTTACAGAAATCTCATCAAAGCAAGACTTTACCTTCTAAGAACAATATTATTTCATGACCACCACCCACTTTGTATGGAAGACATTCACTCAGGTGATACAGATAATACAAATAAAAGTAATGAATCTGGATTGTCTGTTGGAGATTGAAAATTCACCTAAAAGCATTCATCTAAAGTCATTAGTGAAATGGAAAGAACAAGGGACTTGGAGTCAAAAGATCTGAGCTTATCTTCCAGGGTTCTCACTTACAAGCCCAAGAGCCATAGCAAATGAGCAAAGGCTCATTTACTCTATCTGTAAAAACAGAGAATATAAGTATATGTGTTTCATAAGTTTCGTGTGGATTAAATATTATAAGCATGTAAATCCCTCAAAGAGTGCCTGATACATAGCAGATATTCAATAATTAGATTCTCTACCTCTCGTCTCCCTCCTGCTTTATTATTATAGTTGTTGCTATTGCCATTATTATTGGAATATGCTAAGATGATGCATATAAAATACCTAGCACACAGTTCGATAATATTGGCCATTAAAAGGTATAGGAAAATGTTGCAATATATTTGATGAAGGCCTGCTATATGTCACTCACTTTTTTTCTAGGAGCTTAATATTAATGGTGCATTTGCACTACCTAGTAAAGTACTGATTTAAAATGTTATACTACCTATTAGTTTAGGAAATCCACTGGTCCTTTAAAGTCTTTGTAATCTATGTTTTCTTTTTTTTTTCTTTTGGTTTTTTGTTTTGTTTTGACTTTGAAAATACAAAGCATAAAGATCCTTGTACCAGAAAAAAATAAGTAAATCAATCAAGCCTTTGCTCCAACTCTGACATAGGCAACCTCTTCCAAAGGACAGATTATAGAATTCTATTCAGCCTCCTATATCTTTATAATAATCATTCAGTTAATCAACAAACACTTATTATGAGGATACTATACTTTCCTGGGTGTCATGGATACAGCAATAAATAAGGCAGGAAGGATCCTTGCCTAAATGGTGCTTACCATCTAATGGATAATGATGTAACTAACCTAGCATCCTATAAACAGGAGGCAGTTGGTAGCACTTGCAGAATGAATGATTAATGGTGAAGAAGAATAAATAATTTCAGAGACCAGCCCTAGGAAATTTCGCTAAGGGTGACCTACTAAAACATCTCTAAGAGTACTATCACCACCCAGTGATCTTATCTGAGTAGCAGGGCAATAATTTCTGGCAACAGACTGACAACTGGGCCTCTTGAGATCTGTGTCTGGTCTCTGATTCTATAGTATCTTATGCCAGTATTGCAAGTTACTGCTTAGCTGGCTGGATATAACTGATTCTATAAAGTCTAGATAAAAACATTGTCATAGAATCAGAGAACAGCCTGGTGACTCTGTAATAGAAATATATCCCTTGTGAGGTAGGTCTTAAAGAAAGTGCTGAAAACAAAGATTCATGATAACACTAGAATGAAGCTTTAAATAGTTTTTAGTGGTCAACTGAAAAAGAACATTCTCAATCAAGATAATTCCTGAATTGGACTTCTCCTATGTCATAATTAGAAAAATACCTAAATCCTAGAAAGACACACTTTTATTTTTACATGAATGGACAACTGAGTCCCAGAGAACAGGTAAGAAATTTGTTCACAGTTTGTAATTAGTAAAGATGGAACTCGATGCTATTTTTCTGAGTTATGAGGTTATCCAGTGTATTCTTTTGGGAAATAGGAAAAGGCCATAAAAATTGAAATCAGCAGTTGTGTTTTTCTCTGGGAAAAATGAAATAACCTCCCAATGACCATAAAGAAAGGGCTGAAACAGGAACAGGTCTGGACCATAAAGGAATCCTGAGTTGGTGAGATGACTTCCCAGCAACCGATTACTTGCAATCTAACTTCCAGTCTTTGGCTCATTTTTGTCTTGTTTTGTTTGTTATAGTTGCTCTTTGTGTTTTCTCCACTTGTCTTAGAGAAACTGGAGCCCTTTAGGGCCAAGCTCTTTCTGTTTTCCTTCACTGGCTGTGATATTGCCCAGTGTTTTCCATTTTTCCTCCCCAGGCATCATCATAAACCCCTCAGGAGCTGGCATCACCCCTGCTCTGTGTTAGAGCATTATCAAGGTTGCCATGGCTTCGTAATAACTCTTCTGGGATGACAAATTTAAGCATATGGTAAAGATCCTTGCAGATTACTCCAGTGCTTTTCTGTGCTATTCTGGCTCATGTTTGTAAAATTCAACATGTTTTTATGTTGTACTAGAAAGAACTTGAGCTACTGAACTTGGAAAATAAAATTTCCAGCACTATAAGAAAGACTAAATTAATAGTTTTCATTTCTGACAAACTATCCAAAGGCTATGATCAGAAATATTTCCAGATAAATAATTATGTCTTATATTCTTTTTGCTTATGCCAACATGAGAGGTGGCTAAATTTGTTTTTAAAATGTTTTTCAGTGAAATAGAGTTCAACAGTATGAGAAATATCAGTGCAAAATTTGAAATATCCACCGAAACTACTACCCATTATCATAGACACTGAAAAAAAAAAATTGTGGCTTCATGCTCAGTAAGATTTACACAATACCCTTCTTTTTCCAGTATGAAATATCCAAATGAGCATGCTCTTTGATTCTCAAAAATCCAGGGTTTTTTTCTACCCTACCATCCCACTCTACTTAGGCAATAGAAGTTTCTGAACCTCTCTTTAATCAGGAAACTTAAATGAAATAATAGAGACTATAATGGAATTATCTAGAATATTCCTGTAAGTTTCTTTAAAAAAAAAAGTAACAATAAAATACAGCAAGAGTATTTTAACCACATTTATAAGAGTTTTGGTGTAGAAAAGAATCTTTTTACTATTTTATTCTTTCAATGTTCGTGGTCTTTGAGAAACACAGCAAATATCTGCTACATAAGTAGAAATATTTTCAATCTGAAATAATGGCACAGTTGTGTGTGTGTGTGTGTGTGTGTGTCTGTATAATTGGCTCTTTCAACGTGCCTTTCAAATAGATTAAAAAATGTTTAATTTCTATAGAAAATGATTCCTTTATTTCTCAATCAAAAGATCCCTTAGAGTTGGTGCAGACCATTCCAGAGTCAGGGCCTCTGCCATCACAGGTGCTTCTGCCTGGTCTGCTGAGAGTTACAAGTAACTTCATGATTCACTCCCACCTCACCTTTAGATCCATGTTCTAATGCTATCTTCTCAGCGAGAACTTACCTGACTATCTCAAGAAGAACTGATACCATCTCCATCCCCAGAAATTCCTGTCTTCCATCCTGCTTTATTTTTCTTCTAGCACTAATCATTATTTAATGTTGTATATATTTTACTAATTTACTTATTAACTTGTTTGTTTTCTTCCACTAAAATGTAAGCTCCATGACAGCAGCATTCTTTTTTGTTTTTATATCCCTGGCATCTCAAACAGGATCTGACATACAATAGATGCTCAGTAAATATGTATTGAATGAAATATATACACTGACAAGATACAGACAGCCCCTTTTTGCATAATGATCACAAGAAAAGTCATTTCAGTTTCCTACTTTTCAGCTGTTAAACTGAACAACAGTAATTCACTAGTGTGTTTGTTTATGGAATTTTAAAGCACTCCTTTAGTGTGGTAGATTGCCTCTTTCAGATATCCATTATCATTAAGACGTTGACTGGTGTGTGTGTGTGATTCATGTCTTGATTCATAAAGACCTGTTTCTGTGTTTTTAACAAAAGCTATTAGTACCCATGAGTATAATATATCTGTATTATAATATGAAGGTGTTGGCCACAGAACATTTTTCTTTAGGGATCTTGGAATGAATTCAATGAAAAGCAAAAGCAGGACTAACCTGATTTTCACCTTCACTGGCAGCATCTGGGACAAAAATACAGAAACCAAAGTTAAGGGAACGTAAAACATTTAATAAGTAAAACAATTTACTGAGTGTAGTATCTTGCTTATTTTAATGGCAGTATATTTTAAAACCACAAGTTGATTTGAACACATTAAAATTTACCATGGCAAATGAAGTGAGGGCACTGCACCAGGCAGTATATACAGTCACAAAGATCTCTCGCTCATAAAGTTCCAATTACTTTGAAAAATAATACTTACTCCTATGCTTTCTGACCCCCTCAAAATATCTAATTTCTAAAAGATCCTTTCAGAACAAAGTATTGCAGGCCTCTTTTAAAATTATAACATAGTACACCTATCAAATATATCAATTATAGTTTTAAGGTATAGTGTAGCACAAAGTTTATATCATATATATACATAAAATAAAATTTTCTGAATTCTGGTAGCTCTGCCTCCTCATTATAGCCACAGAAATTAGAGATCTGGTAAATATTAAGATTAAACTCACAGACTAATATACTCTCTCATTAACAGACTTTTTGTGTGCCTATACACATTTTTAGGAAAGTGGGCATCATTTTTGTATAATGGTCTCCTCACTCTCCATCTCTGAGGTTTCCTTTTAAAATATGTAAATGCTTCATAGCAGGTTCAGTCTAGGCAATCTTGTGTTCCCTTCAAATTCAAATAACAAAAGCAAAAACCTACTTCCTAGCTCCCATAGAAGTCCCTTACCAATTAGATGAAATATTTTCAATCCATTTAGGATTTGAAAACACAAAAATAAAATTTGCTAGAAAGCACTACTGCTTTAAAATAAAAACAGATGACTGAATTTGAGTTTTTAATGTTTTATTTACAAATATAGTATTAAAATATACATATTAAGTACATCTAAGTTTTAAATACCTGTTATACACATAATTCATATCAGCATCAATTCATAGGCTTAATATCCTACATATGTATAATATATATAATTCATATTGTTATGAACTTTTATGTTTGGTGAGGGGAATATGGAAAAGAATCTATTAGCTTTTCAGAATTAATGTTGAATTAATGGAAGGATTTCTGATGGATAAAAATTCAGATTATCTCAAACTACTTGTCATTTCTAAAGATAACATAGCTATAAAACCACATATGTAATTCTTCAAAACTCTACGTCTGGCAAGGTATTTCAGGGATATATATATATATATATATATATATATATACATACATACATACATACACACACACACACACACACTGAAGAAGGAGGGAGAGAGACAAGTCCCTGCCCAGAGCTTTAGGATGTGTGGCAAGAGGCTTAGACTACAGGTAAATTGCTCACCTTGTATGAGGCAAAGAGCCAGGGTCAGAAGCATTGGCACTGCAGCTATCTTCATGTTGAAGACGATGTAAGTTGGTTACACGACTGCTCCTTGCATTGCTCACCAGCTGGTGCTCTAAGACTGAACCTGTGGAGATGCAGCTCATTTTTATAGTATACTGTGGGTGACACCCACAACAACAGCCAAACTGTAAAACCAGTTGTTCAAGGTCATGCTAAACTTAATATACCACATCAATTTAGTTTCCATCTTTTAGGATCCTGTCAAGGTGGCAGATTTGAACAGATATTATTTCTAAAGTAGTTCTAATGTGTCTTCATGATACCTCCCCTAGAATGCAACAGATTATGTCCAAGGACCCTACTCAAAGTTTAGTACTCCATAATCCTATATCAGAACTGAATTCCTCACCAACACCAGACACATTTCCTCGTAGACAAACATGTTTCTAACTCAGCTCCCTTCATAAGTGGGAGGGGAGGGAAAAAGAAGACAGATGGGTTGTCCTACAAGCCAAGTAAAGATTTAAAGATTTCTACATCTGAAGAAAGCTGTGTATAGCAAGAGCACCTAGGATTCCTTTTGCTTCCATCTGCATCTGTTCTAAAGTGTCTCAATCCAGTGTCACAGACACATATATAAGTTAGAATTGATGGGATCAAAGCCCTTTTAAATATTGTTCCAGAAAACTGATCTAAGGCTATCCAACGCTGAAATCGTGTCAATATTCTGAATCCCATCGAAGCTAGAATATTTCCCTTTCTTTTTTTCATGAATTTCTTTCCTATAAAATATAATCATTGGTCTCAAGGTCTGTGCTATAAGCTTTATTTCTTTCCAGTGGTTTAGTGAAATTAGTGACCATGGAAAACGAGTTCAAATTGTATGACTATCACAGGTTAGAAAATTGACTGTCTCAGATTAATGGAAAAAGAATGGGACAGGGAGTCAGAAAATTTGTTTCTATTCCTGTCTTTGCAAATACACAGTGTAACGGAAATGAACCTGGCTTTGATGCATTAATAGATCTGGGTTCAAATCCTGACTCACGAGTTACTAGCTATGTTGTCTTGGGCAAGTCACTTATTTGCTTTCAGCCTGAGTTTCCTAATATGTAAAAGAGAGATAGTAAAACTATATTGTACAATTGTTGTAAGAGTTAGAGGTCTATCGTGTGTATGTGTACTGTTTAGAACAATTCCAAGCATATGTGGTAAGTTTTATAGTTAATGATAGCTGGCCTTGCATTTTTATCTCATTATAATGATGTGATTTACTAGGTAATTTCTAAGACTCCAAGAAAAGTCAACATCTCTTAAACGTGGTCCACAATGACAGATTTAAGTTTACTCGGCATAGAAATAACAATCCCCAAACATTCTGAAGTAAAATCAAAATGTCAGGATATAGGTTCTCTTTTTCATCCTATCATTGTGTTCTAAACCATGACACCTGAAATAGATCAAAGTATTAACCATCGAAACTTTGCCAAAGTCATTGCTAGGTTTCGGTCATCACTGATGTCTATAAAAATCCTCCTCTGCATGACATAGCAATACTAATCTTTTAATCTTCCATTTGCTCTGTTAGACCATATGAAATGTGTCCCAACCATATGGTAGAAAAGTTTAATGCCTTACAATAGAATTGGTGACTGTGTACTATGTTCTGATGAACACCAAATCTAGCCCAAATAGACAGTATTCCCAGGAGTGGAAGTAGTGATAGGGTGTAACAAAAGAACCAAAAGATGATTGCATCTCTAAAGTATCCCTGCTATGAGGGAAGGCTGAAGGAGTTGGTTTCTTTCTTACTGAAGAAGAGTTCCTTACTAACACCCAGAACCTTCTGAAATGATGAATAAGAGGATTCAGACTGATAACCTCTTCCAGCAGAATAAGATGGCAAGGAGAAGATTCAGTGAGCACCCCCAATACTGGAAGTACATGTCAGCTGGCTCTTGTCATCAGACCTACTTCTGCATTTCATTTTAGAAATGTAAATCCAGAGGTGATTAATCATACACTCTGTTAATCACTCCTTATTTTTGAAAACCATGGACTTTAAATTCAAATGAATGGGACTGAGGTTTTAGAGAACTGAGTTTTGGGTTAATAGAGTACTTTTATATTAGGTTATCAGAGTACTTTCCTGAAATTCTAAATTCTATTTTTTTTGGGGGGGGCAGCTCTTTCAATTATTCATCAAACGTGTAAAACCCTTTTTCTCCTCATTAAAAAGGAATGGAGTTAGGTTGTAAAAAGTATAAGCTTTACAATACAAAACATGTATCAAGTGGCCCAGAATCTGAATTCACATCAAGGATATTGACACAGAGGGAAGAGATAAGAAAAATATAAAGTAAACAAGATTTTGTAGATCTGTAATGTTACTAAAGACAAAGGTTATTTCCAAAATCCAAAGTTAGCAGATCATTGTTCAGATCTTCTCTTTTTCTATGCTGAGATATCCTTGATGATCACAATAGTTTAATAAATATACTCCCTTACAATTTAATCACCTTCCGCATCTTTCCAAACAATCTGTCATCCATTAGCTCCCATGACTTGTTTATGCAACGCAGTGATGCAGCAGAGTAGGTGTTATTGTCCTTTCCTTACCTGCCCAAAATGGCGCCATTAATAAACCTCAGAGTAGGAACTAGCTTGGATGGTAATACCAGCCTTGCCACTTTCTCACCTTTTACACCCTATGTGGCCATCGCATAGCATTTCAGACAGTTCGAAGAGAATCCGGACGTTAACAGTGCTTTAAACTAGGTTCAAGGTTCAACATTCTACTGCTAACGTAGTCCTTTATGTTTATCTGCTGCTCTCACATTCATACACACACACACAACCATAAACCCATAATGACAAAAAGAATTACGTTGTGACCGTGACTGAAAAAGTATATGTCCTAACAGTTCTTAATTACTTTTTTATTTTCTTAATTTTTAATTTCCTTTCCTAAAATTCTCATGTTTTCCCCCATTAATTTAACAGGTCTGTATTCTCCTTTTTTGAAAGACACTAACTGGAAAATAGATTTTACCCCCCTTCTTATCTTGAAATGTCCCATTAACAGGTACCTTTACTCCTTCTCTGGGAGTTCCTTTCTGTTTGTCTAGAAAGGCTGAGAAACTATAAAGATAAGCATGTCATTTTATCTAAGAACAGGATGAGATGGGCGTTCTTTGATCACTAAGCATACAGACCCTACTATTTATAGACATAATTGTTGCTTATGTTAGATTAGATTAAGAAAACAGGAATGTTTTAATACCTAATTTTTAACTGTATTAAATTTTATGTATCAGGTTATATTTTGTTCTTAAATACAATATCCAGCTTCTCCCTACAGCTGATGCTACTGGAACTCCTATTCCATGACCCTACACTATCCATCACTTGAAAATTCTGTACATTCTCAAGTCTCCTAGGATTCATTCTGACTGTAGAAAACAAGTTTGTGGAGCTACAGTCCTTTGGAAAAAAAATCACAATGAATTAATTCTGAAGTAGCTAGTATAATGAGTTTTGGCAAAAAAGTAACGCATATTTTACAGTGAAATACTTTTATGTGTGTGTATATACAGTAAGAAGAAAACTGTTAGATTTATAAGCAAAATTAGAAAAAGGTGGTATATATATCTTTATTAAATTATTTGCAAAGAAATATAAAATTTGCTATCATTTATGGTACACTTACTAAGTGACAGGTACAACAAAAAAGAGTATCATTTTTTTCTTTTTTTACAGGTTAAAAAATGGAGGTTTGGTGAGATTGTATAACTTTTCCAAGGTCATACAGCCTGTAAGCAGTGGTCTTTGCAAATGATAACACTCAATGAAAATAAAGGCAGTGAAATCCAGAGTCCAAGCTCTAAAATAACACACACTGTAGTGACCATATTATTTACACCTATAACTAGTTTATCTCAGACACTTCCTGTTATAGACTGAACCGTGTCCCTCCAAAATTCATATTTTTAAGTCTTAAACCCCAGTATTGCAGAATGTGACTGTGTTCGAGGAGAGGGCCTTTACAAAGGTGATTAAGTTAAAATGAGGCCGTTAGGGTTGAGCCCTAACCCAAACTGACTGGTGCCCTTATAGGAGGAAATTTGGATGTAGAGAGACACCAGGGATGCCTGTGCACAGTCACTTACACCAGGCCACATGGTTTGTAAGCAGTCAAGCTGTGGCTCACATCTAGGTTTTAAGACTTAAAAATTTCATTCAAACAAGTACCAAGTTAAACAGCACCAACCACTGTGTCATACAACAATCTTGATTCACTAGACAGAAAAAAGCAGTAAGAATGAATAATAAATCAGAGAATCCTCAGGTATGGGACCAAATTACCAAAATGTGATTTAACAAGTTAAAAATATAAGTCAAAAGTTAGATGTTATGGTATTCCAATAGATTCTATAATACTCCCCACATGAATACAACAAATATTTACTGAATGCATACAATTATCTGTTATCATGTGAGAGCCCAGCATTAAGCTTGTGAATAAAATAGATGTGGTCTCTAATCTCTAAGAAATTATACTCTAGTGGAAGAAATATAAGATAATCATACAAATCATTGTTCACCTGACTCTGTGAAAATCTTTTAAAAACGATGTCCATAGAGTAAAACTAGCATATAATACAGATATTTGGCCTCTAGAAGGGAATTCCCTGATGATACTCTCAATTCTTAAAAAAATAAGCTGGGGTTAAAAAGGTGTATAGCCTTCAATCATCTGAAAAATTCAGTTAATCAAAATGAATCATTCCTTGCAGAAAATAAACTTATAGTTACCGGGGGGGGGGTAAAGGAGGGGAAGGGATAAATTGGAAGATTGGGATTGACACATACACACTACTGTATATAAAATAGATAACTCATAAGGACCTACTATATAGCACAGGGAACTCTACTCAATACTCTGTAATGGCCTATATGGGAAACGAATCTAGAAAAGAATGGGGGCTTCCCTGGTGGCACGGTGGTTGAGAGTCAGCCTGCCGATGCAGGGGACACGGGTTCGTGCCCCGGTCCGGGAAGATCCTACATGCCGTGGAGCGGCTAGGCCCGTGAGCCATGGCCGCTGAGCCTGCACGTCCGGAG